AAAGTATGGAGGAGCGTATCCAAGATGTAATCAATGCAAAGGGTGGATACACTAGATGGTAAAGAATATTTAGTTAATGGTAAAGAATATTTAGTTAAAATTTGGTGGATTTGTTAGTTAGAATCAAAACGGTAAAAAAAAACGGATCACTTAATTTGATGTAAAAATGGATTATTTTTTATTTTTTAAGTTACGGATGAACAATAAAGTAAATATAATAATTCTTTTATATTTAGTGACGTATTATTTAAATTACGTAAGCAGTTTATTTAGGCTTTTAACTATATCGATATCAATACGTATATCGATATGTGCTGAATTTCATATGTCTGTGGCGTTTATATTACTAAAATTGACTTTTATTTCTCGTTTCAGTGATACAATACTTCTGAGCGCCATTGTATAATGACTTCGATGGCAAATAAAAGTTCTCTGAAAATTTATTTTTAACAATCCTAATAACACTTTGGAGATTGATGATATTAACCAGGGGCAAAGTTGCACTATATGTATATCGATATAGCATATTTTACAACCATAATAGCGATAGACAATCTCTGTAAAGATTGCACTTTAATCCAGTTAAACCGAGAATGTCGAAAAAAGAAATTGTTGAAAACCCCAAATTCAAATCTTTAATCTAGCGGTAGATTTATTTGAAGCTTTGGAAACATGTCACATTTATGCTAGTGTTGTATACTCAAACATGGATTGCAGTTTTGGAAAAGCTTGTCATGAATTATACGTACTCTCATTTACCAAAATTCGTTAAATTCCACAAAGTAACAAATGAATTTAAAAACGGCGGTAATAATCGCAATAAAAAAAAGAACCAACTCTGAATAATTTTACATTTGTTCAGTCGATATTGTGCAGATCTTTGATTGTCAAAGAAACTACGAACAATCAAATGAAGCAATGGTGATCAAGAATCTATTTCGGACGCTGATATTATACCAAGCTCCAAAACACAAGTGTACACAGATTCGGTACGGATATTGTACAGCTATACTCTGAATCCATCTCTAACCCATACAGTATTTGTATTCCCCTTTACGGGATGTATCACGTTAAATCAAGTAGAAAAGGGTCAGTACACTAGGGGGGTGTGTGTGCAGAAACCTTTACAAGAACCCTGGGTTCCTAATGATTTCATTAAGGTTCATATTATATTCGCCAAAATTCAAATGAATTACTAAGAAACTATTAGAAAACTACTAGGGGAAATCTGAAATTCCGTTCCATATTGGTGAAAACCTCTGGGTGGAACGACGAAAACTTTGATGGTTTTATAGTGAGTTCTGACGACCAATCAGAAATTTCAAAACAATGTAGAGTAGCCAATAATATCAAGATCGCAGATTCAAATTTTTTGTGCCAAAATCAAAAATCGCCAATAGCTCGAAATTTCAAGTAAAAAATTGTAAGTACATGTATAGGTAATCAACACTAATTGTATTATTACGGAAATTGATACCACTAGAAGAAAACACTTTGGAAACAATTAAAGTTTTGGTCGTTTCACCGATTTCCACTTGGACTTTTCTAGTGGTAATAAAATATCCTCTAACGGTACGGACCTGGAATCCTGCAGATGACCTAGAGGTTTTCTACAACAGAAACCATTATTGAACCCCCTTTTACCAGTGAATATCAGCACCGAATCTCTACGCCTCGCTTTCTAGTCAGAGATTTTCCATGTACTACGAGGCCTATTCTTCATAAAGCCATCTGAATACAAGAACGCGTGTAAAAAGAGGTGATTAAAATTGAATTAAATAACTAGGAAGCGCGATATTTTTAGTAATGTATATCTATAATTGACAAAAGATCAAAGAAGCTATTAACTTGTTATATTTAGGCTTCTTAATGATCGAGGATATTGATAAAGCTTTCGGTTGAGCCAAAGACTTCGGAAGCATTGGGTATTATCAGAATCAATACTCGAAAAACATCCAGATTTAAAGAACAATATAAATTGGTTTCCTTTATTCTTACTATTATTCTGCTTTGAACATTTCTCTAAATAAAGATGAATAATTATCGTTTCCACTCGTCACATATTTTTTATACCAAGCAAACGCCTTGTGCTTATCTTTATTTAGGCCGTCTTCATAAGCTAAAATAAGCGCAGCCTGAGCTTCTGCATGTCCACCTTCTGCAGATTTTTTAGTCCAGATGAAAGCTTTACGTTTGTCTTCAACGCAACCATCGGCGTAGAAATAACAATCAGCTAACGCGTATTGCCCAAATAAATTGTTATTGTTTGCTGATTGAAGATACCAATAAAAAGACTTTTCTTTGTTTTTTATTGTCCCAATCCCAGTATCGTAACACATGCCAAGGAGATATTGTGCGTACGAATCATTAAGTCCTGCTGCTTTGGTAAAACATTGAATCGCAAGCTGGTAATTTTTGTTGATTTTGATTCCAAAGTAATAAAAATACCCCAAAAGTGTAATATATTGAGGATTTTCCATAATGGTGTTTAAAAATCCTATAGGATCCGTCACATTTTCATCAATGTACGCTCTTAATAGCCCAGCAATTTGACATGACTTTGTTCTACCAGAATCGTATAGCTCGTGAAATAGATATATTGTTTTATCGAGTATAGTCTCGATGGATTCGTTTTCTTCCGTAATACCTAATGAATGATGTCAATAGTTAATTGTTAGGCTAATTTTTGGTCAATTATTTTTGCTTAAAACTCACCGTTTGATACTTGTTTGGTTTTCATTTTGAGTGAGACACTCTTGAAAGGACATCAATCAATATCGATATAAATTATTTGCTATGATACGCACACGCAATTAAAACGTGAGGTGAATCGTTTATTGTAGAGGATAAAGACTGAGACAAAGTATACCGTGGGTCCAAACAAAAGTTCATTAACCATTTTAGCGCTAGCGTTAGCGTCAGTAACAAACACTATCACTATCGTTATCACAAATACGTAATGATAACAGTAACGGTAATGCAGACCTCCAAATGCAGTTACCTCACTTGTGAAAGGAAAATTTCATGACGGCTTGGGTCCCTATGTGAATTTATCGATTTTCAAGAAAATTAACTTATTTGTGCTGCAGACCAACTATTCCCAAAGTCATGTTTTGCTTACCAAATGGATTTCTCGCTTTAGCATAATAAAGTTCCCTCGAAAAAAATGATCATTTCCCTATATTCTTTGAGAAGAGTCTGCAGAATTACTTTCGAATAAGACAATTTTAATTTGCCCACACAGCCAATATGCATCTTGAGAGATCTCATTTCTTTTAGGAAAATATACACTCAGACTTAATACTTGGATGCCGTTACGTATCGTTGTATAAATTATACATGTTTCCGTATTCCCATATTTGGTAATTCCGGCATTAATACAGCATCTTATTAATATGGCCACCCAATTTAATTACTAATTAACAATTAGTAACCGTGGGAAAAAGGTAGAATTAATTCTATCACATGTATAGTATAAATAACAAATGAACTGCTATAAAAGTGCATCGGGAGTTTGAATAATATCGGCCGTTTTGAAGAAGATTTTAGAGCAATGAATGGAATAGGAGAAACTTTGATTAATTGTATTAAGGCTTTTCCTGAACCAAACATAACGATAAGTCGTATTTTGTTCTACTGATGATTTACCTTATTCTTGCGAATAGCCAATTAGAATTCATTTCAGCTTCATATTTGGCTTTTGGTTTTTGCTGGGGGTGATTTTTTGGTTTTGTGGTTTAATTTGAGGGATTTTTCCACAAGTGATTTTAAGGTAATAAAAATCTTCTTTTAAGGAATAATCGTGTAACGCAGGCGGAAGAAGATTCATAAAATAATCTCGGATTATGCTATGAAAGAAAAAAAAGAGTCTATAAATATGCAGAAACGGGGGACAATAGAGGGCAATATCGCTAGAAGTTATATGCTTGGCAAAGGGTCAAATAAAGACGTAGATAACGATAACGGTTATCTGTGTTATACGAGACGGCTGTACAATTAGAGATCGAACATGAATATACTAAAGGGCCAGACATCAGCTCTACGTAATCTTGCCACGAATGCGCTGACAGGACCGATAAAGACGAGACAAAAGTTTTAGAATATATAAGAGTGATGGGAAGTTATGAATATGCTCAATATGTACTTGTTGGCAGATAACAAATAATTACGATAACATCTATTATTGGTATTCTAAGCTGCAGAAAATGGTAAATCATCTTGCCAGATGTATTCGAATGGTATATGAGATAAAATAAAGCATTTGAGTGTTATCTCAAGTCAGCTATGGGTGAGAATGAGTTAGCTCTTTATGCGTTTGGTAGTCGTTTTCAATTTAGTAAGAGATCGAAATAAATTTGGACAAAAGTACTCGATGTTTTGTCAAATTAACGATATCTATATCTGTTATTCCTAAATGATTCACGAAGCTTTTAGGACTCGCAAATGAACCATCTTTTTGAGAATTGCCACAATCTATTTCTTTAGACGTTAGCTTTTGGCGTAAATTATTTCGTAATTCAATAGAATTTAACATCATGTATTTTTGATAAAATGGATTGGATGTTCTCTTTATTATCTTCACTTCATATATTTATCATTAAACCATAAAAAGAGTTTACTAATTAGGTTGCAATTAGAAAAATATTAAAAAATTATATAGATTAAGGAAAACATTAACTCTAAAAATGTTCGTATATCCACAATCACCAAATTTTACTTGTTGAAGGTCTGCACAGGAGCAACAGCAATTTTCACAAGATTATCCAACAGACTCGGATACACGACTTTATCCCAAGCATTTGCGGTCTCGTCATAAATCTCACCGATCGTTTTGCCCCTTTCCACAACCAATCGAAAATATTGTTCGTCAATCTCATCATCTAATTTCGGGTTGATGGCGCGAAATTCCAAACGAACAGATTCTGTGGTTGGATCTGGATGTGCAAGCGGATTTATCGTTTCTAAAAAGGATTTTTGATGCGCTTCAGAGCCGTAGCATGGAAGTAGGTCGATTACTGCGTCAGGGATTTTTATATGTGGTGCTTCATCTGGATTGTCAAACAACGATGTTTGGATAATTACTGTGCTGTGATCTCGCAACCATTCGAGAATTTCTTTTTGTTGTGAGATTCACAAATAAGCTTTTTAGTCATTTTGAATGTTAAGATATCAAGATTTAACGTCAAGATGATTTTACCTGACTTTGTCCCGATTAATATAAACCTTGAAGCATTAGTAACTGAAAGGTTTATTACGTCTGGCACGTGTGACGGCTGCATTATCATTCCAGAAGTTATAGCTATTGAGCTAATATGCTCACCTATTAGAAAATTAGTAAATTTCAAATCTTTATATTGTAATATCAAAAATGTCGTTTTAAATAACTACCAATAACATATCCATATTTGAATACCATTTTGTTAAGAATAAATTGAATTTTTAAACTTATCGTTATTTATATTCCAGAAAAGGTAGGTGATCGTATCCAAAACGACTTATTTAACGTTAATTCCAGCAAAAATAGCTCATAATGACATAATGGCATAAGATTATCTGGTAAGTTACATCTACGCATATCAATATGGCATGTTTAGCGATAACGAAATAAAATACCGATACATGTATGCGTAACAATCAAAGTCATATTATAAATCATTCTTTTAAATCATGTTTAAAACACAAAATGTTAAAAAACAGTTTTTTAACAGCCTATAATATCTATTGTTTTTAAATCACGTTGTGTTGCACAGAAAGTGGACTGATATCAATATTGTGTTACAAAGCTAAAACGAGTCGGCGATTTTTTCAATAATGAATTGTAAAGTTTTTTCTGTTCAAAAAATTCCAGATTGTATTTGCGTCAATGCAATATCATAATTACACAATACAAATAATTTTTATATATGTATTTGTTTGTATTCAATCAATGTCTCGAAGGATATGCAGGTGTTCAAATTATTCCTAGAAACTTCAATAGAAAAGTTTTTCGACAAAACAATGTCAATAGCAGGAAACGATACTCCGAATTTTTGACTGATACGAAATTTTAGTTCAATGTCTCATTTCTATAACCAAATTCATTTCATATGCAATAGAGAATAATGACGAAAAACAGAAATTCATTTAGGCTATAACGATAACGAAATGGATAAAGGGGGGGGGGGGCAGAACAAAGATTAATATAGAAAGAATATAACGACAATAAACATGTACAGTATACACAATGTCTTTTCGCATTCATCCATAACCTGAACGAGAATGGATGCAGTGAATGCATGAGTTTCACATATGCACTGCCGAATGCGACTACGATAATCGCTCAAACTTAAAATACAATGCAAGTTAGTGGTGCATTAGAATAAATGTTTTCTGTGTCGGGAAGGGAAAGAAAAATGAGCACTACAAGTGCAGAAACATGCCTGAAAAACGGAAACATGCCTGAAAAACGGAAACATGTTATGTAGAGCAGTTGTAATAAAAGCACGACTTTCTCCCTCATTGTATTCTTAATCCTTCGAACTCTAACGTTCGTTAATTCATAGGGTCACCATACCCGACCATCATTCCGAAAGTTAATTACACTCTTTCATAGTTTCCTAAGATGTCTAACACCATATCCACTTCCTCTTCCATTAACAACCGTATTCCCTTTCCCATCGAGATTATCTATGAAACTTTAAAGTACTTGCGTATTGACTACAATGCTTTGCTAGCTTGTATTCTCACGTGCCGCGCGTGGGCTGAATGTGCATTGACCTTTTATTGGAGAGATCCATTTGTACATATGGACCCTAGATTACTGGTTTCGAGTTACATTCGCTGTTTAGACGAGTATAAATGTGCACGTTACAATTATACTTGTTTTTGCGAAAATTTAAGTATGCAAAAGCTGCGCGATTCTATTAAAGAATACTTAAAATATAAAGACACGCAAGAAGGTGATTCTGAAGTTTCTGCAAAAGATTCAAATCAAAAACTAGACGAACTGTGTTTCTCTATATTACGAAATATCCTAAAAGACCAAGCTAATAATATGAAGATTTCGCTTGATTGGTGTCAACTCACATCTTGGAAACAGTTCTTTGATGTATACTTCGACAAAGGATCAAAATGTATATATCAAAATATTAAAAAGCTCTCACTCAATTACATTTACGACACGCAATTATTTCATACTTTGGCGACGACATCTTTAAATATCAAAGCGCTTGAAATTCACACTGCAATTGACAACCTCACATCAGATAATTTGCGGTCGCTTATTTCTAATCAAAACGAGCTCAGAGAATTGAAATTGATTGGATATTTGCACATTCCATTTGTCGCTTTGGCAGAACAGGCCGATTTTCTTTTTTCCATAGAATTGGTCTATATCGATTTCAGTTATGCGCCAAGTTGTTTATTAAAAGGATTAGCTTCATGCCACCAGTTGAGAAAAATATCAATAAAATATTGCACATCCGCAAATGATGGTCTGTTGGAACCCCTAGCTTCCTCACGATTTCTCAACCTCCGAACAATTTACGTTGAAGAATCTATGGAAGGATGGAATAAACTAATGTTATCGCTCATTAGAAATAAACCTTCAAATCTTGAGGAAATTTATTATAAACCTTCCTCAGATGATCTTTCAATAATGAATGGCCAAAAAACAACCGACATGATAAAAGTTGTAGGTAAATCTTGCCCTTTTATCAAGAACTTAAGTGTACCAGCAATTAGCCAGGACGACTTTGAATCTCTTAAGCTGTTTCTTGAAGATTCACACCGAAATTTACAAAGTATCGATATATTTATGCATAAAACAAATAAAAATTCGGTCCCGACCACGCGGTATAATCTTAAGCTTATTTATTTAGAATAATATTCCTTTTCTTTTAACCTTTATTTTTCTTAGCTAAGAAGACAGGTTGCTTTTTGCTCTAGAAAAACTTTTCCTTTATTATTATCATTATCTTCTCTTAGCTTTATCTTGAAAGCCACAGAATTTGTATCCAGTTCCGAGTGTAAATTGAAATTTTTTGTGTCCTTAGCAGGGTTGTTACTTTTATAAGTCCAAAATCTGTATTTTTTATTGGACTTAAGTAATTTCTCAAGATTTTACAAGTCCATAGTCTAATTGACAACCCTGATCCTTAGAATACAAATAACATTTATTTATTCTACGACTAACATCTGGAATTAAGAAATTTAACTCTTCAATATGTAACTGACTCATTGCATGGTAAGCATTTAGTGCTGCTAAAAATACAATTTTGGTACCCAGTTTAAAAATTCTATAAAGATCTAATGTTTCTCTTGATTGACAGCAACTACTGAATTTTGCTTTTACCTCTTTATTTGACCTTATTCTATCCACTAAATTTAATATTTAAATAAGGTCATTTAATAGGTCACTTTTGAGATCACGGGGTTTTTTACTACAATTAAAAGTTGTTGCATTTTCTACATCCCAACACTGTACTGATGGTCTGAATCGATCATTTTTTGCTAGCTATATATACGTATTCAGTCATTCATAGCCAAGTCAATCGATTGGATCCGATTAACTAAGGATGATCCGTCATTTAATCACAAATCGGATCATTCGGATGACCCGTCGATTCATTCAATGAGAAATCGGATCATTTGGACGTTCCGAGTGCGTGTATATAGTACGTATAAAGTATTCGATCCAAGTCAATAAATTATTTTATTTAATCAAATAAATGAACTAAATTTTATTTATGTCAACTATGGTGCAGCAACTCTTAAATCGCTTTCAACTTCTTAACTAAGAAAATCTAACCAGTAATATTGATATTATAGAAAAGAAATTATTGATAATATTACCGGTTAGATTTTGGATTTACTTCTAAGAGTTGCTGCACCATATACCTAAAATATAAAAAAGTTCAAAATATAACTTATTATTTTATTGAAATTAAACTCTCCGGATGATCCGATTTAATTACTCATCGATTAAATCACTCAAAATTTTCCAAATCGATTATTATAATCAGTCAGTCAAATCCGGATTAGATCGATTATTCGGACCACTGTATATATATATATATTTCTTTTTTTGATTTATCAGCTAATACACGTGATTATGACCAGAATTATGATATTCAGAAAATCATCCCTGTGCTTAGTACACAAGATTATTAATCAACGTCTTGCTGACAAACTATTTGTAATCTGCTTTTATCGTTATTGACTACGTTACGGTTGACGTTTACTATAAATTATGAACGAACCTCGATAAATTGGAATAATAATATTATTTTCCCTTACCATAATGTCAACTTCGATCGCATCAAAACGATTGCCTGTGTATTTTATAAGTCATGGAGGTTAAATATGACGTCTACTATCATCAAACTTCATTCTTATCACTGTGTGTTAACATATAAGTTTTACAACTATAGCTCCAACCTTGATAATCGACACCCACGACAAGACACACAAATTCTTGAAGCAACTAGGTGCAAAAATTCGTAAGCAATTCAAACCTACCGCAGTGGTTATCGTCTCAGGTCATTGGGAATCTACGGATGTAATTCGAGGTCAAAAATAGAATCATATTTAAAGCTATCGAATTTAATGTTATAGAAACCAACAATTTGTTGTTGTTGCTTTATAGTTGGCAGTTTTAGCGGTGAGACGTCATTAATTTATGATTTCCATGGATTTCACGAGACTCTATATCAGCAAGAATATCACAGTAAAGGATCCCCGGAGTTGGCTTCGAAAATTGTTGATTTGTTAAAGAAGGTAAAACTTTCATTTTTTTAAATGCTCTTATCATGAAACTCAATAATATATGCTTCCTTAGGCTAAAATGGAAGCAATCGAAGATGAAACACGAGGATTTGATCATGGTGTTTGGATTCCTCTTAAACTCATTTTTCCAGAACCAGGCGATGTACCCATAGTTCAAGTATCATTGAAACGTGATGCTTCTTTTGAATTTCATACAAAAGTTGGTAAGGCTCTTGAATCTCTAAGGTACATGTCTGTAAATTATTCATCTCTTTTTTATATTCAAATTATGTAATTTTTTAATAAAAATAAATAATATCTTACATGTAATTAGGGATGAAGGCATTCTTCTAATTGGCTCTGGCTCATTGGTTCATAACCTCCGCGATTCTTTTTCCGATTTTCATTCATCTAATTTTACACCGAAACAATACGCTACAACTTTCGATAAAGACGTCACCGACATTATAAAAAATTCTCGTGGGAAGGAACTCGAAAATAAATTGATCGACTTGAAGAACCACCGGCTCTTGAAAAAAGCACATCCGACCACCGACCATTTGGTGCCGTTACATGTGGCTGCTGGTGCCGCGGGTGAAGATAAAGGAGAAAAACTTTATCATGATATTTACAGCGGACTTAGCTCAAGTGCTTTTTGCTGGGGGACATGTGAATAAGAAAATTTACCGATACCCCGCTTTAAAATGAAAACCACAAGAACACTTCTAATAAATTTTCTTCGATATAATGATTTTTATAATAAATTTTTATACATATATAACGTTTGCATAATTATCCCGACCATATCGTTATATCGATGTTTGACTGAACTTATAAAAAACTGAAATCATGTGGATTGTCCCATTTCAAAGCCCAAATTTTAAATTGGACCAAAAAAAGTCACTTAAAAAAAAAAACCACGCTGATGTTTCTTCTGCGAATATATTTTTTTCAATTCGTGGATTTGTAAATGGCAAATGTACACGCATAGACTGCCCATACAATTAAATGTATTTTCTGCTAAAGAGAAATACAATATTTTTTCATGGGATTAAATTTGGCTGTTGAAATTAGTTGATTTATTTTCATCTCGTGTTATAATAAATAATGTCAGCTATCAAAATATTACATGATGAAATTCGCTAAAACCAAGGTAATGCAGCTTACGATAAAAGTTTTGTACAAGTAAAATTTTCCATGATTAAACTAGAACTTAAGCTATTCGGAACTGAATTCAACATGCTAATATATAGACCATCGAGAAATTTTCTATTAAATTTATTTGCAAATGTATCTGTTTAACTTAGCATAATAAAATTATCTTAAACTTAGCACGTTTAGTTTGACTATTTAAACATACATACTTTTTAATGTAATGAACTAAATAAAGCTGTTAGTAATTAGCGTTTTAACTTTGCTGCTACTTTGATTTAGAATCATCAAATAATTAACGCGAATTTAAAATGAATAATAATCATCATATATTCAATAAATATTGATTAGGATACTTTCCCATGCATTATTTTGTTGCTTCATTCACGATAAACATTTAGTAAAGCACGGCGGATTTCACAAAAAATGAAATACTCGATAAAAAATTTTATTTCCGTCAATATTTATCAAACAAAATGAACAAGTGTTAATTTAAACCTCAAAACCTCTAGTACATGTTTCTTTAAAAATAATTTCGTGTAAAATTAACCAAGGGTTTGTGTATCGTGACTTTCACATTGGAAATATATGATTGATAAATTAAACTATTATTGCCGATTTTAAACTTAGGGAGGTGCCATTTATCACATGATTTTTACTATGGACAAATGAGTATGGTTAGTTATCACATCTTATCGTTATATGATTAGAAAAAAATTATTATCCCTTAAACGTCAGGTTTAACGGGAAAATTTGCCTGTTAAAATTCCATAAATTATATCTAATATATTTTTACCAAAAATTAAAATATGTTAAAAAAAGTTTGTTTAATCTTAGCTTTAATTATATATTATATAATAGTTATTTTCACATTTTAATAATTATAAAAAAATTATAGTTGTCTATAAGTTAAAAATAAGAAATTTTAAAAATTTTTATTATTAATATTAATCTTAAATTTTAAAAATATTTTATAAAAAAATTACAGAATTGATTAAAAAATCAATCAAATATTTTGAGCAATTGTAAATAAAAATTACAAATTTTATATTATATTGATTAAAAATATGCTATATTTTTATTTTAGTTTAGAAAAAGGTGAGTTAAGCTTATAAAAATTAGGCGTAAATGTACAAAGATAAGCTAAAAAAATTTTAGCGGGCAAATTTGCCTGCTGGACAGTTTAAGGAATAACCAAATTATCACGCCATACATGCATTGGGGGCTACTAATAAAATAATTTTCACGTGATAAATGGCATGCCACTTACTGCTCCAGCAGATATAAAAAATCTAATCAAGAAATTTACGGAGCACTTCCTTATATGGTGCAGGAACTCATAAGTGAACAATATGTTTCAATTTTAAATTGCTACTACTCAACATAGAGGCAAAATTTTCAAAATCTGACCGGTAACTTTGTAGAACTTATTATAAAGAACAAAGTTACAGTCAGATTTTGAAAATTTTGCCTCTATTTTGAGTAGTAGAATTTTAAGATTGAAAAATATTGTCGATTTAAGAGTTCCTGTACCATATGAGTCCAGAGATCTAGAATGGAAAACCATACACAGAAGCTGCGGATATTTATAGTTTGGGATAGTGAACGACCTTTCGGTGAGCGGAATCATGACATAAGTCTTGTATGCGACATTCATGATGGAGTACGACCTAATATACCAAATACTGTTCCCGGATGGTACAGTTGATTATTAAAAAATGTTGGGATCCTATCCCGGAAAACAGATCAACTGCTTTAGAACTTGGACAATTTCTCTATTCTTTCTTCAACTTTACTGACAACTATATTGATCAGTGGTAGAAACCGAGTACTTTGCATTTTCAGTACCATAACTCTCTGGAACAGATGAAGAAATTAAAGGGTCTTAAATTGGAAAAGCAGAAATGGAAAGAACTTGATGAGGAAATGAAATTACAAAGTACATTCCTACAAATACGAACAAAAAAACAACAAATTCACTCAAATGCAATTTACACCAGTCGAATATTTACTACAAAATTAATTTCAATTTCAACTCAAGTACTAATATTTAGGATGTATAAGTGTCAGTTTGCATGTTCCAAACGAAGGTAAACTTACTACGTATTTGATATTTTTAAACCATCTCAAAATAATTGTTTACATGCAACTTTAGAATATGTGACTATTGAATATGATATAGATATCAGTGTCAAATCAACAAACGTCAGTCTATATGTTTCAAATGAAGATAAACTTACTATTTGATATTCTTTTTAATTCATTACCATTTTTCTTTGATCAATTTCGTGCCCTAGCAAAAATAAAGCTATTGACAGTCTAATAAAAGAATGCACGAAAATCAGAAAGCATTTCAAATGGATCCTTTGGAAAAATTTATCAATGCTAAATATCTTGCATAAAAGAGGTTTTGAAACAATTATAAAGTATCATTGAATTACGTATAAAAGAAAAGTTGGATACCAAGTTGTTGCATTGAAATCCAAAACAGCCTCTTAAGTGTATTAAAAAGATATATCGGCATATTATCTTTCAAAAAGAAAAGAGTATTTTTGCTGCTATAGTGCAAAAATCAATGAAATCATGCTTTTATACTCTAAACTTATAGTTTAAAATGTTTTGAAGTATGCTATACTAAAATTATAAGGTTTTTAATTACTATCTAAAAAGTTAAAACTAAAATACAATGCATTGACTTGCATAATTAGCAAGTCGAAAAATTCATATTTAGTGTTCTAGTTTATAGGTTCAAATATTCTAATCACTCTAGTAAATTATACCTAAATACCTTTTAATAATAGGTTACATACTTCATAAAATAATAATGAAGGAACTATTAAAAAATATGCTTTGATGTTATATTTAATAAAGTTATAATGAAAATACTTTTGCACAAAAAAAAGTATTTTGAACTATAATATTTTAATACATGTACATTTCGCCATACGTATCTTTTTAAAAAAACTTGAAACTTTGGTACAACATACGTACATACCGATACAAGTTTTTTAATTAATTCCACACAATGGTCTCACAAAAACAATGTGTCCGGTGACTTTCGTACATGTACATGTACATATACGTATGTATCTTGAATTCATTCCTGTTGATAAATCACAACCAGCAGAAACACCTAATTTTATCGTTATTAGCGTTAGTTTACTTAGTTAACTTAATTGAATTAGTATAAATAGCTCATGAATCCTTTAGATAGAAGAAATCTCTTTATAAAATTATTCCTGAATCTATTTATCTGTTTATCTAGAAGCATTTCAGTTACATACGTACTTGGAAATTTGGTGATAAACGAAGCAAGATATAATTTTAGTTTTTTCTATGAATATGGAGCAGGAACAAACGAATCATTGGAAAAGCGTGCAATTGTTGTTAGAAAAGGAGAATCTTTTTGCAATAGCTAAAAATTTATTTTGCATCCAACCGAAATTCATCTCTTGCCTATAGCGATAATTTTTTCACAAATAGGAAAACAAGGATTTGTCTCCAACCTTGTGAAATAATATCTGTCGGATGTAAAGGGGCATGACCTCCAGAATCGCTTGACTTCTTTTTGCAACAGGGATAAGTCGGGGATGATTTTATACTTTCTCATAGTAATCACGCCGTATAGCGTTTATCTCGGGATCTTAAATTTTCCAACCTTCCGATAAGAAGTACCCATACAATGAAGACGTGACTCTTCTTTTAACACATACAAACACACAGATGGAAGTCAAAAATAATAACAATAAATGCCTCTTCTTATCTACGAATATCTCATTTAGTGCATGTTGTCATTTTTTATGCGTAAATGCATAAATCGATTTTACAAACATAACGATAACATGAAGAAAATAAATTTAAACGATGGAAGACAAAGAAGTTTTGTTGAAATTATTACGCAATTCAAAGCAATTTACATCCAAGTTTATAAACGAGGTAAACGAACACCTTTTAAAGTGTAAACACATTTCTTTTTTTCACTATTATGGAATAACTAAAAACTCAACTACAAATGAATACTCAATACGTAGTGATGACTTATGCAGAAATCAACTTATTAATTCATATTACTCATGGATTGAATGGAATTCGCGGGAAGGAATTTGTGCATTATGACACCTGGAAATATATAATATTGCTCAAATTGCTGATTTTGGACTTACCGAACCAGCGATATAGAAAAATCTGATCAAAAAATTCGCGGAGTACTTCCTTATATGAGTCCGGAGGTACTAAATGGAAAGCCCTACACCAAAGGTGCGGATATTTATAGACTTGGGATGATTACGTACGAGGTTTTCACAGGTGAACGACCATTCGTTGAGCGAAACCAAATACTTTGCGTTGTCAGTACGACTCTTTAGAATCTCCTAAAACAGATGAAGAAATTAAAACTTGATAAGCATATGAATAAAAACAACCAATCCAGTTTACACCAGTCGAATCTTTGCTAAAGAACAAATTTCAGTTCCAAATGACACAGGTATTTTTATTTCTACATATAAAACTTTTCACATTAACTAAAAATTAAATTGCATCGCGTCGAATATTCAGGCTCTACAAGATGCTGTTTGTATACTCCAGATGAGATTTCAGAAAATCAAAGAGATGTCGAGTAACTTGTAAGAAAAACTATAAATTCAAGATGAAACATTAAAGCACAGCGAGTTGTTGTTTATCAACTTTGTGTTTGCATATTTTTATTGATATAAAGTTATCCTTTCTAAGCTTATTTCTTTATGTGTATTTAGAGTATAAAAAATCTCTCAGAACAAAAAAATGCGATAATATCATTTTTGTTACTTTATTGATCAATTGCATACTTTATATTAATTGTTATTACTTGAGAAATTGCTGTCGTTTACTTGCTAATGGGAAACCCGTTAAATAATGAAATTCTATGATTTATTGGAATGCTTTAAATCGATTTTGCTTAAAAGAGCTTTTATTATTTACACACAAATAGAAGTCCTTAACTGTGTCGATATTACTGTACAGTACTTTTTTATAGCATTGGACAATAAAATCAGCGTATCGATACGATTCATTGGGAACAATTTCACACTACATAAATGTTAAAATAGTAAAACAGAAGTTCTATTGCGATTTCTCACACACAATCAGTGCCTAACGCAACTTTCATAGCTCACAGTCGATTCTTCCTTTTCTGACCCGATTTCCCCGGCCATAACAATTATCCGAAAAAGTATGCACTAGTTAAAAGTTAGGTTTAACGTAGAGTTAGAGTCAAAGTTATATGTAAAATTTCCTTTGATTGGTGCTCCCAGTTTCGCATTTTTCGCGCAACTTTATTGGTTTCGAGATCGTCAGGGGTCAGGCAAGTCACGTGAAGGAAGAATCGAGCTGTGAAGATTCCGTGAAACTAACGCTAAACTATAATTTCTAAGTGTGACGAATCTATTTTTTCCAACTATCGCTATTATATTACTGAGGCTTATCGAAGTGGCGTTCGGATAAGTACAATGCAATTCCATGCAAATTTTGGTGACGTTTTTTCACCCATAAGACTAACGAAATGGTTGAAAAGAGAAAAGATTAAATTATCAACTCTGATAACGTAGGACATTTTGAGTGAAACGCCAAGCTCAGGAAAAAGCAACCCCCCTTCTCACATAGACTTACCTTCTTTAGTCGATTTTGCGTAACTTCGTAACGATAAATGAGAGCACATTTGAATAAAATCGCGGCGGATATTTTCAATTAAGGTTAGATCATCTGACGATGAACGTGATATTTCGCATTTTTAATATGATTGGTGCATAACGATATGATTGGTGCATAACGATAACGATAAGACAAAATTAGATAAAAGACAATAAACTATTATATGCGTGTAACAAAATTCTGGCGTGAAGCGCACAGGAAGGATGAGAGTCAAAGGAGAAACAAGTTTGCACATCATTCTAACAAAATTGAGCTTTTTTGTTTTGTTTTTCTTTATTCCTCTCTTTCTCTTGTTTCGGGTTCTAATAAGTGGGTTCTTGTTTCCTCAAGTAATACTTGTCATCTCCAAAAGACCATCATCGATTGAAAATTTTCGAAGAGAAAGTGTAACGTCCTAAAACATACACATGTAATATCATTCATTTTCTTAATAAACGTCTTTCCGCAAATATTCCTGTTAGTTTCAAAAATTAAAGACGTACAAATACTTATCGGTATATACCCCCATACACACACACACACACACACACACACACACACGCACACACACGCACACACACACACACACACACCCACCTATCCACCCACCCACACAAAATGGCTGTATTATCAGCGTTAGAGTTTGTATCTCGATGCATCAGCAAATTCACGAAATCACGATCAAGAACCCGAAACCATTTGGTAATACCGATACATGTACCAAAATTAAACGAGAATGTTCTCTACGAAATTTTCAAACACTTAGAAACCGACTATAAGTCTCTCCTTTCTTGCGTTTTAGTATGTCGTTTTTGGTGTCAAAGTGCATTACCTTTATATTGGGCGGATCCGTTTCAACATTTAAACCATAAATTGATAGTATCATCTTACATACGATGCTTGGATTCTGGTGAAAGAACTGTATTATTTAATAATGAGGTAGGAAGTGCACGATATAACTATGCAAATTACTTGAAGAGTTTAAGGATGGGAACTCTTTATACTGCTGTCGAGAAGTGGGTTGAATACGATGAAGTTCGTCGATCCCGTCGACAATGTCGTAAACAACAACAATTACAAAAAAAACGACGACAGAATTTTACTTTCGAAAATTCACATCCGCGAATTCTCAACATTTGTCATTCGCTATGTCGTCTTTTTTTGAGCAATAATGCCAATATCCTCGACCTTTCACTTGATTGGGGTGACATAGACTTTTGGCAAAATTATCCTTCGGAATTATACTTTCAAAACGAATCCACTTCTCTCGTGAATCTAAATGGCCTCTCAATACATTACATCTACGACTGGCCAATCTTTAAACATTTAGCAAAGTCAGCAGTAAACATTGAAAATCTTGAAATCCTTGGGTATTCATTATTCCCTGCACCGAAACAATCGGACGAAAACGATTTAGGCTTATTAATCTCAAATCAAAGGCGATTGAAAACATTCAAACTATTCGGATATGGAACCACGCCATCGAATACCATTTCCGCAATAGCTAGCCAAAAAAATTCTCTTTCTTCGGTGGAGATTATTTATGTACATTTCAGTGGTACTTCTACAGTTCAGGGTCCTTCGTTAGAAGGATTGGCCGCTTGTCGAAATCTACGAGAAATAATTATAAAATATTGCACTTTTGCGAATGATGGTCAATTGAAACCCCTCGCGTCAGCGAGATTTCCGTACCTTCAAAAACTTCACTTTGTTGAGTCAACTTATGGGTGGGATGAAACCATGGTTGCTTTAATTAGAAACAATTATCAAAATCTCGACGAAGTGTTCTTCAAACCATCAACTGATGGTCTCTCAATACTCAAGGGTAAACCCTATTCCACAGAAATTGTCGAAGTAGTCGAGCAATTATGTCCTGCTTTAAAAACTCTGGGTATACCAATCGGCTGGAATGAATTACGTCACCTAAAAAATATTCTCAATAATCCTAAATGTCAACTACGTAATCTCAGCTTATTCCCCACCTCTCCATACACTGGCGTTCAGATCATGGAGGAATGGCCTGCCTTTGGTCCGTTAATGCCAACCACTCTACGCCATCTGAACGTATGCATAAAGATGAATGATGAATACATGAAAAAATTTTTGGAATCAATTCGCGCACCTTTGGAAACGTTGTGGTTTGACGCGTGGTTGTACGTTACCGGTTCTATTTGCTTAATTGTCTACGATTTCATAAAAAGAAGGGATCGTGTGACTGATCTTGGGTTAAAGCAGAGCGTGCGTGAATTTTTGAAATACGTCGTTTGATTCTTTATTTCTTTTCCTTTTGTACATCGCCAGTTAAACCTTTTGCAAAAGACCTTTCTTCTTATTTTCCGTTGTACTTTATCATTAACTACGATTGAAAAATACACACATTTTTGTACAAATTCTTATATTTTTATTTATACCCTATTTATTTTTTAGTTTGCGGTTTTTTTCTTTAGGATAGAAGATCCAAATAAAAGAATCCGTTCATATAATATAATATTATTCACTTTTAGAATTCGATAGGTATTCGGGGGATCCACGAAAGGTGAATTTGAAACAAAATTTCCATTTTCGAAATTTTGTAATAAAATTGTAACATTGAAGAAATTCTATTCAAGCATAGCATATACTGATACATTGAATCTAAGGAAATATGATACATACATGTACATGTATTTAATGCCAAGTCATTGGCGGTTATTTTTATTTTGTGGAACATCCAACATCATTGTTCGATCTGCACTGTATTTTTGAACCGCTTAGATAGATAACTGATACCGATACACACCGATACGTATCGGTATGCGTTTTTATTGTTTTACTGATTAGACCGGATCTTTAACGTCAAAGCACTACGAATTTCAGAATCCTAAAAATAGTTGGCCCTTTTGACTATATCGATAAATACGTATTTGTAGGATAATAATTTTTCTCAAAGGTAACGGTAATGTCATAGACAGTAGATGTAATTTGTGCACCAAATTATTATTTTCTCATATTAAATATGAAATACAGAACAAACCAGAATTATGGATATACGTAATATCGAATAAAATGACAAGAAAAGAAGAATTTCAAAGCATGGTGAACATATAGAGGTAGTTAATTACCAAGCATCAAGTATCTTTGAAATCAGGAATTGAACAATCTTATTGCACGGTCGATATCTGATATAAAAATAGGACTGGAATGCCAAGATATTTATTAAAAAAAGAAAATATAAGATATTGGAACACGGTGTGTTTTCTATACTAAAAGAAAGTATTGCTTTATATTCAGCATGCTACATGAGCAAAGTTTTAAATATAAATCGAATCTATTTTAACTAAAACATCTAATCCATCGGAATTTCACCGCGAATTTTTATTTCTTTCTTCACCCACTTTTGAATAGCACGGATAAGAAAGGGATGTTTAGGAATATACTTTCTGATAAGATATTTCTGCAAGTTAGCCGCCAAATTTACACCAACATCTTTATTAACTGCGCAATCGGTAAGTTCCTGAATCAATTCTGTGCGATTCATATCGGTGATTCTTTCACGACGGTTGTAGTATGCGATTAACTTGTCGTTGATGGCAGTTCGTTCTTCGTACGGTAGTATATCCTTTTCTATTTCTTTTATTTCTGTGGACTTGGACTTGGAATTTGAAGGTTTTTTAGTTGTGATTGGTTTGGTGTCAGATTGTTCTGATTCAGGATCTGGGTGGTGGCGGTGACGGTGATGGTGGTGATGACGATGATGGTGATGATGACGGTGTTTGTGTCGGCGGTCATTTTCTGAAATTTCTTGATCATTTTCTTGTAAAAAGTCTAAAGATTGTGGCATCAAATCCAAAAATTGCGATACAACTTCTGAGGTTGATTGAACTTGTTGAATATCGATTATTGCATTTTGCAATTTTCGGAATCCTTCTGCCAATTCAGCTGCTGCATCTGACACCTAAAATAACTTCACCATGTAAACTATTTATTTCCCAAATTGTACCAAAAATATAAAGAAACACCCACAGCTCTAAAATCGTCTGGTAACTTTTGCAAGTTATCCATCCAATTAGGTTCCCAATCTTCAGAAGCTAAATCATCATTTTGAAGTGTTTCGCTCTTGTCGTCGATCTCTTTTATTCGCTTTTTCTCTTCACTTCCGCTACTGCTTCGTTTTTCACGCATTTATCCTCGACGTTAAAAGATGATGATGATTATTAAATACTTTTTTAATAGTGGATGAAAAATCTAGCGTGCTGAATTTCGTAAAAAAATATGGAAGACCGTGGGTAGAAAGTACAGCATTAGTGATAGACTTGCTACCCTCGTAATGTCATACATTTATTAAAATAACGATAAGTGGTGAATCTCTAGTTTTGGCCTATGAATCAGATTGCATTATGCAGTAAACATGAAACCATGTCAAGTCTTATATAGAATTTCGAGGAAGCAGTATTTTGATATGGTGAGCATCTTGATTTTAAGTTTTTGTAGAAATTATCGTTATAAGCAGGAAACGAAAAAACAAACTAAATTAATCTAATACGACTAGACATTTAAGATTCAAACAACAATTTGTAATGTAAAAACAAGTTATCATGTGAACTATATTACGACAATAAAAAAAGCCAAAATTTATTGAACTTTACAGTAATAAAAGAAATTTATTCACTTTAGACGAATTTTCTCCAGGATATCTCATTCGTGGAAAGCAACAGCAACTTCACCTCGCGCGACTTTTTCCTTGTCGATCCATTGTTGAATTGCGTGTAAAACGATCGAATCGCACGGAATTGTATGTCGACGTAAATATCTTCCAACTTGTCTGTCCAAATGAGCTAACGGAGGAGGAGTAACACACAAACTTAGTAATTCGTCAGCCAATTCCGGGTGAGTTATTGGTTCGGTAGCTTTACGGCGTTGGAAATAGCGAATGAACTCTTCATTCAATGCTTTTCGTTCTTCTTGCGTCCAATTTTCATGTTCTTCAGTAGATGCCGACGCTATTGAAGCTGTGGCATCCGGAGAAGCTGAACCTCCATTTCTCATGCTGGAGTCACCAAGATTAGGTGTTGGAGTAGCTGGTCGCATTGGTGTGTATGGCGATTGCTTACTGGACGAAGTCCAATTCTGCTTGTTTGCTGATATAGATTGAGGCATTGCTGGCGTTGAGTGAACAGACGAAGTAGTTCTTCTTTCGGCATTCTGAAAATGAGATTCTGGTCTCGTTGGAGTTGCGAAATTACTAAACGGTGTGTTTGCACCATTTGTCATATTTCCATTTGTCGGTTGAAGCCTTTGTGTTGGAGTCATTTGACGATTTGTTACTAAAGGAGCCGGTCGAACTCGTAACGGCATTCCCATCACTTCTTCTAAAAGATTTGCGACATTTGGTGTTGGCGTTTCTTGAAGCGTATCAATAGCTTCTTGAAGATGTCGGAATCCATTAGCGACTTCAGAACAAGCACGAGAAATCTAGGGAAATGTGGGAAAATTTCAAAATATCTATGAATTTTGAGCGATCAAGCCGTTGAAATTTCACGATAAATTAAAATACGAACCGCTTCAAATTTGTATTGAAAATCCGTTAACCACATTGTTTGCACAATTTTACCCTTCGAATGTTGCCTTTGTAGTGAAGGTTGCGTACGTCCGTCTTCGTTATTTCTCATCGGACCATCAATATTATTTGCGCCTGAAGAAGAAGCACCGTTCATATTCATATATTGGTCATTCATCATAATAAACAATAGTATATTATTTGGTATTTGTTACTCTTAATACTATTATTATTTTTTATGATTAATACTATTTTTACTATTTATTATAAAATGCCCTCCTCGCTATAGAATAACAAAAAATTATTTTCTCGTCTGTATATCAAGAATTTCCCTTGATAATATTATTCAGCTTTAAAAAAACAAGATACCTCGTTTATCAAAATAATACGAGTAAGGCTTGATTTTTTTTATTTAAAAAGTTGTTGGGTGTGAGGCGAAGGTAGACGAGGTGGGGGGCAGGTATTTTTTTGGGGGATGATGATGATCTCCTTATTGTTGTTTAGTGAATAAATAATTACTATGATGAACATGTACCACGATGGAAGCCCATAGGCGTACTTGTTTTTGGAAAAAACCAATGCATCAATGGTAACACACACATATACACACATACCTGAAGCACACGATTTTTATAATAAGAGTAATAAATGGTATAAATCCTTAATTGTATATGGCCTTCCTATGGCCATTATCCAGTTACATTGATCATGTTATTGCTTATAAAGGAATCAAAGATGTCTAAATTTTTTGTGAGGCTAATTCAATGTCCGAGTATAAATTTCCAATCTAAGATATTCATTTGGCAGAATATTCATTTGGTAGAAAGTAGAGTTAGTTCTGTCCCATCGACAAAATTATGGTGAAAAGAACACCTGAAATCCGTTCTGCGTTTTTTGCCCTCTGATAAATAAAATGCTTTACCATTTACCGGATTTCGATAATCCACTTTTTGCAAAGAATTTCATTTGCACCGTTTCTCACCTAGATACTTTTTCGTTTTGCTGACTGCTAAATCATTTAAATCGTAAAGATTCCGCGCAACTTTTAATATCAGCAGGAACACCACATCACCTTGATAAAAAAAGTTAAATTATAAAGCACAGCATTAGTTTTCTCCTGTTAACAGATTTATCGCACAATTGACATATCAATGTGACTGCTTTTCAGCACGATGCATGCGGTGTTTATGCACAGCTCTACCTTGGAAATACATATCGATAGTGATATGCTTTGAGGAGTTCGTAAACGCTTTAATTCTGCACAAGAGGCAATTTCAAAGTTTTACTATTGAAGAAAAGATATTTTTCTTTAACAATTAAATAATACTGTACATTTAAAAATCTGTTATTTTATTTATAGCTGGATGAATCTCAACAAATCAAATCGTTTGATTTATTGTTACTTTGCACTTTCTTTGTTCCTTCACCGTACATATGAAAATGAAGTGTTTGAATATATCCTGCCTTTGCCACCCTATCATACCATTCAAAAGCTTTTTAATAATTTTTGTGCACCCCTTGATAACAATTCACTAAAGCATTCTGAATGGTTTTATTATTGTTTTAATTTATTCCACGGAACCATTTGGGTTATTTAAGCTGATAGTGATGTGTTCACCCGAATCAATCAAAAATTGTTTTGCATATATTTGTTTTTTATAAATATAATTTTCATGCTATATTATAATAAATAAAAGAAATTAAAGTTTTGCACAAATAGTTCATACCGAATGAATAACACATTTAAATAGGAAGAGACGACTTGTAAAACTAAAAGTTATCACTGCTATCTTGAATCCAAATCCCTTCACTCTTAATCAAGGAGTATTCGAGCTACTTGAAAATTTGCGATAAAATGAAGCAGAATGTAATTTGCCGTGAACATAGAGCAAGGACAAACAAATTATCGAAAAAGCGTGCAAATGTTTGAACTCGAGTGTTATTCGAAATCAATGCAATTACAGTATACTCACTTTTGGCCATTATTAAAAATATGGAGAAGAAAATCTATTAGCATACACGTATCAGCCAAACTGAAATACGTTTTCTGCAATAAGGTCCTGCTTTAACTAGACACAGCATAATTATATGCTTATTCTAGCATAAAGATACCAACGTAGAAATGCTCGAATGCAGCTATAATTAATTGCATGATGACGGTCAGCAACAATTTTAAGCTTTGGAAATGTTTTTCGTTGTGAAACCCCATCCTCGTAAATATTGCGGAGTGCATACCGATACTGATACTGTGTAATGCTTTGTCAAATTGATAGAGTTCGATTGGCATCATTCTTTAGCTTGAAATAACTTTATTCGGGCACCGTTACCATGTATCGTTCTGCAAATTCAAGTTCCGCGCATACCGTATATTGCATGCTTTATCAAATGCCTTTTGATATGTCTTTGCCGCACCTTTGTAAGAAATTGAAACTCCTATAAACTTCATATTGAGAGAAATACTTCCCAAGTAAATATTAAATATATATCATTCATTCTGAGTGCTGACTCAATAAAAGCCGTTATAGTATTTCTTTGTCTTTAACCCAAATCATATGGTAAAAGAGAGATCCTAAAGCGTCGTATACCAAGCATTTACATCGGAAGCCTGTAAGCAGATGAGTTCTGAAAGATCCAATGCTTTAAGTTTAATGTATGAATTTATTCGCAGGATAGTTTCTTTGTCGTCTTTCCTGAATCGAGTAATTTATGAACAGTAATTGAAAATTTATTCGCTCCTAACAGAAATTGGATATTAAATTACCAATTTTTATTGAATTGCTACTTGGGTTATAAACAACAGTATCATAGATGTCAATGATGAATAAATTAAGTTACATCTTCCTAAAAGGTCAGTCAAGCATAACAGGTAAATATTGAACATAACTCACTATATGCTTTATCAACCTTTTCATTAATCGCCAATCGATAAAACCTTATCGCTAGATGAATATCAACAGGAACACCCAAACCACCTTGATACAAAAGCGCAACATTATAAAGCGCTGCAGTATTTTTTCCACTAATAGCTTTGGTATACCAATAATAAGCCTTAGCAACGCTTCTCTCGGTGGCTATCCCGTCTTGATAAAAATACCCGAGTTGATTTTGCGCAAATGTGTTTCTGGAATACGCAGCTTTCGTATACCATTTAAATGCTTCTTGATTGTCAATGCTGCCGCCGATTCCATGCTGATACGCGTATGCTAAATGACATTGACCATTATGGTGCCCGTTTTCCGCAGCTTTTTGGTACCATTCTTTGGCTTTCACTAAATCTCGTTTGGTACCCAACCCGTTATAATATTGTCGTCCGAGTTCAAATTGCGCGTATCCTTTTCCGCTTTGTGCAGCCTTCGAGAACAACTCAAACGCTTTATCTTCGTTTTTTTCAACCCCTTTTCCATCTTTATAGCAATACGCTAAACAAAATTCTCCGTAATAATAACCTTGTTCGGCTGCTTTTTCGTACCAGTAAAAAGCTTTTTTCAAATCAACAGCAGTGCCAATTCCTCTTGAATAACAGTCAGCTACTCTGCATTGTCTTAACGGAATTCCGGCCTCGGCTACCTTAAGAAATGTGAGAAAAGCTTTTTCTGTATCTTTTTTGGTACCCGTTCCATTTTCATAACACTCTCCAAGCCACCCTTCGGATATGATACAACCCTTTGAGGCCGAACTTTGAAACCAATTGAAAGCTGTTTCCCAATCAACGTCAACTCCATGTCCATGTGCATAACACCATCCAAGTTGATTTTGAGCCACCATATCATCAGCTTCAGCCGCATATTTATAATACTTGAACATTTCATGTTCATCAGTTTCTGTTCCGATTCCATAGCAATAAAGAAATGCTAGTAAAGATGACCATTTTGGCAAATGTCGTTTCTCGAAAACTAATGAAAATACTTCGGTAGGCTCGTAATTATTTTTGTGAAGCCATTCTTGTGCATAGACATTTATTTGATCGTCGTCTAAATTTTCGCCGTTAGAACCATCGTAAATTTCTAATAATTCGTCGATAACGATAAATGGCATGATGACGTTTTTTTTTACGTACATGTATTTTGGATTGAGAAAATTATCATCTAAAAGGATAGGTCATTAAATAATATTTGCACTGGTGCAGTGTACAATGTACATGTACAACATATTTGCTTTGTGTTCTGTCGTTGACGTTTCAGAATAAATTTTAGCATATACATGTAGAAACAATTCAACATTACGTATCTCATGAAGTTGTTCATTATTTAGATTACAAAGGAAAATTAAACACAAATAAACAATAACGATCAGAAACGCCTGTATTAGGATGTATTCCCATTATAGAACACAAGTATACGAACCGGTACTAAGCAAAATGGTCCGTTTAATTTTCACCAAGATTTACTTTAAGATCTCATATATATGTATTATACATGTATATCGATATGCTGTGCCTGAGATCGGCGCTTGTGTTAGATCGCGCTTGGCCCAAATTAGGATGAGTTTTACTAGAGTTAGAGTTAGGGTTAAGGTTAATGCTGGTAAATAGATTAATGTTGGCCAAAAATAATCACGTGAAACGCGATCTGACGCAAGCGTCGATCTCAAGCACAACATATATACATGAACATGTATAAGTTTTGTGACAGATTAAAACGAAACCAGATTAAAATGAAATCAGATTATAATAAAATTTCAGAGAAGTGTTAGGGTTAGATTAGAGCATAGAGTATAGCATTAAAATCTGTAATATATTGACCTATGATTATTTAAACTTCCCACTCTGTTTCGTTTAATCTGATTTCATTTTAATCCGCCACAAGTTCTGCATTTAAAGATGCATACGTACTGCAAAACAACCACGATATCTTTTTATTACAATATTTTCATAATATGTATCATAATCGTGAACAAATTATTCCAAAACTCAAAAAAAACCAGAAATATACAAGCTCGTAATCCTAGAAGAAAAAGTAGACTTTTAGCGTTTACCAACAGCATACAGAGCATCATATCCGCTGCACCCTGAATTATGCAACCATTGTAAGCTTTTATTTGTCGACGATGTTGGTGTAGTACGTACTTATATGTGATCATGTAATTTGTTATATAGAAGGTGCAGTTATTCTACAAAAAGGAATTTTCAAAAATGTTAATGCATTTTAAATCAAATTGAAAAGAAGCAAACACATTCACACAACATGATCTTGATGATAACGATAATGATATGAAGGATAAAGAGAATTCTAAAGAGATAGAGGAATATTGGACATTTCGTCCAAGCTATTATTAGAAGTTAGCCAAATAGACCATTGGTAATATATAAATAAATGGAAACCAAAGAATTAATAAACGCAACTAAAATACTAAACATAAATGTTTTTCTAAGAGCTGAAAATGGCATATAGACCATTTGTCGTTGTTATAAACCTACATCTAGCAAAGGTTCCCGGATCAGCACGGATCAGCACGGATCAGCAAAATATTTCTTCACATTGGCTTTACAATCGAAATACAAACTGGTGAAGTTTTGTAAAAAACAAAGGTCTTTTTTATGTGCTACCATAGGACATATCTTTGCTCTCGATAATGTTATATACGAATTCTGTGCAATATTTATACTTGACCAAGCACTTTGGTGAAAATCATAGCTAATCAAAGAGAATTTCTGTCATGCTGATCAAGTATCTTGACACGTTTCGTCTTGCGATACCGGTACGGTGATTTTAAAATTCATGTGCATTTTGAATACTTTTTTCTGACATATGGGCTTTGATATTTCTTTTTTATCGTTATATACATGTACTTGATAACGATAGATTATCTAAGGTGATTCTTGTGTTGGCGTTAATAATATCGATATCAATATTTGAAACGCAAAAAACGAAAAGATACATGTAATAATAACGATAATAGTGTGACAAATTTGCTCATAATTGATGAAATAGCTTGCAAACATGAACAAGGATTGGGAGAGGGGATTAGATAATAAGATAAAATAATGATAAAAAAGGGGTATCTAAGTCCTATGCCAAATTTTATGCAATTTGTTATAGTCCAAAGAAAAGGTAAAATTCAATAGACAAAGAGGGATTTGTAAAAAGAATGAACAGTAAATTAAAAATTATTTGAGAAAATGAAAAGCAATTTTATAAAAGCAAAGCAAAAAAGACAAAAAGTGACTTAGAAAAGTGAAAATTGCTTCTTTGAAAAGATAAAAGGGAAATACATTAAATCTATTACTTTAATGTTTTTATACTAGTGTAAAGTGTTCTAATACTATTAAAATACAATACAATTAATAATAATAAAGATTCTTTTACTTTGTTCTTATATTAGAAAAGAATATTATATTTTCAACTAAAAAAATATCAATAAAACAGAATAATATAAAAATACTTATTTAATATCAAAAACGCTTATTTAATACAAGTATTAAATCATTAACAATATTAAATACAGAGAGATTAAAGTTACTTGTATGCAAACTTTGAAATATATAGTTGAAAAGAAAAAAGTAAAATAAAAATAAAAATAAAATAAAAAGCTAAATAAAAAATGAAAAATAAAATGAAAAATAAAATAAAATAAAAATAAAATAATATATGAGAAATAAAATAATAAATAAAATAAAAGATAAAGTAAATAAATAAAAATATAATTATTAAATATATAATAAATTATTTTTATTTTTAAAAAGTTAGTCTTTTTTAATTACTTTTAATTTTTTTATAAATTAATAAATTTCATGTTATCATAATAATAATAATTATATGAAAGCAAAAAATTTTTTTTCTTAAAAAATAAAATTTTTATATTAATATTAAATATTTAATCAAATTATTTTTAATATAAATAAAACAAATAAAAAAAATATTTTTATATTATAATATAAATAGTTCAAAAATATCAACAAAAAATATTTTTTAATTTATTTGTACTAAATTATGAGATATATAATTAATTAAACAATTTTATAATATTATATTTAAGAAAAATAAAACATATTAAATATATTTTTTGGAAATTTTTGTTTAATAAATTTAAATTTTAATTATAAAATTTATTAGAAAAAGAATTTTGAAATTTATTATCATGGTAATATATTACAGAATTCCAAATTTAATAATAACAAAAACCAAAAATATAACTTTAAACCTTTTTGAGCTCATAATTCTAACTTTACTTTTTTAGTAAATAGGAGATATAGTCATATATCACATATATGATAAATTATAATTTTTAGTAAAAGATAAGAGTAATAATATTTGAAATAACAACTAAATCTAAAGTGACAAAAAAAAAGTTTTTTTAAACTATAAAGCTATATTTGGAATTTTTTGAATTAAGTAATTTGTAAAATGAATTGTGAAATAAACTTGTATATTGTGGTATCTTATTCTCTATACAAACATATTTGGCTGGTATATATTGTCACATTAAAAAAGAAATCTATTAATATTCTTCAATAATAATAAATGATTCATAAATTATATAATTCAAACAAACAGGATTTTTAAATAAAAATTATTGAGTTTGTTGTTAATACAATACAATCTTTAAATGTTCTTGAAGATAATAATTTTATTGATATATCAACTAGTCAATATTATGTTTCATGCACTAAAACTTCAAAAGATCAAATAAAACGCATATGGAAATGCTAAAGATCAATTAAACTAGAATTAGCAATCTTAATTAATGTACAGTATATTTATTATATTCGAAAAATATTGCATATTGGCTTAAAAGAACATTTGAACCACAAGAAATTTCATTCCGTTCATTTTACATGCAGCTGTGTGGCAACTTGCAGCAACTAGGAAGATTTGCGATGCAGGAAATGATGAGATGAAAAAATATCTTTTCTGGGCATTTCTTGATGTCTTTAGTGACATATAAACTTATTTATTAATGCCTAGTGTCACTATTACATATTATTAATTTTTAAGGTCCATCCGAGTGACAATAAATAACTTATGATTTCGATGCAACATATGTCGACCTTCCTATAACTACGTACAATACGTATATTGACCTCAGCATTTGAAAATTTCTATGATGGAAATTAGGAAATTTCTTTGTTACACTCAAACCTCGTTATAGTGAAGACATCGGGGTAAGGGAAAAAAATCATCACTATAACTTATATAGCTTCATTATACGTATCAAGTTGAAGTTTATTAATGATTATAAAAAAATACTCCGCTATATTGAAGTGAGTTGTATGACAAAAAGGGTGTAGCTATTACGTATAAAAGACAATTTTATTTTCAACAATATCGATATTGTAAACTTGGTGATTTATTTTATACCGACACGGTGCAGATATTACATACGTAGCTTGTCAATTTAGATAAAATCTTGTTACATGTATAAAGAAATACGTACGTACTATGATTATAACTTATTTTTATCTTAATATGTATATAACGATAATATCGATATGATAAACTTGCAAATTTTTCGTATAGCGATAGTGATAGGCTGCATTGTAACATCAAAACTATTTTTTATTGTTACGTATCAAGTTTGAACCATATTTTTTATTATTTTTAGAAAAGAAGGAATTTTCACGTACTATTATTATTACCGTTACCTTTTCTGTGTACATATAACAATAATGATAATGCATGTATTAACGTTAACGTTAGTCATTGATATATCAAGTACTGACGTTATAGATAGAAATGATATCGATATATACGATATTTGCTTGGATACATCTAAAGATAAATCAGTCTATTTTTCAATATATATAAAGACAAAAAGAAATGCGAAGAAAATAATTATCCTTAAACAGATAATAGAAAAAAAACTTATTTTAATTATTTAAACACAACACACTTATGTATACCAAAATCACCGCAAAACTTTTCTTCATTTTGCTCCTCGTTAGCTTCGTATTGTCTGCGCCGGCACCGCAAAACACGGATCAATATAAAAACTTGATCGGTAAAACTTTGGTATTGAACGGTCACACTGACCCTCAAGGTGTCCCGCGGTCACAGGTAATTGAACTTTTATAAAATCTTCCTAGTGAAATTAAACGTAACATTTTATTTAGTATATTTTGTTTTATAATGAATAGCTCGTTTATGAACATCAATTGCCTCCATATCATCGATTAAGATATCCTGATACATACGTTACTCTAGAATATGATCCGGATAGGTGAGATATTGAATACAATTTGAACTGTTTTTTATACTTATCGTTATCGTTATTGATCGTTTATTGTGTTTAATGTGCCTTTATAGATTTAACGTTTTTCTAAATAATAGAGTTGAAAATATAGTTACAGACATATCATGGAATTAGATTGTTTTTGTACGATAAAAATTTTGTATATTGATAGTGTTCTAAATAAACATTTTTCATTTATCTATTGAATATACATTTTTACCTCTTAGCTTTAACTTTAATAATTGACACAGGTAAAAAAAAGTTTACGTATGTTTATCACACTCGGATTCTGTTAAACCATTAGATATACTTCCATGATTTTCGTAGCTATTAGAGAATTGTGACGCAAACTCTCGAAAACTATCGCTATCGCTATTAACCAATATGGAACCTCTATTTTTTTACCTGTGTGGAACACGTGATCAAATTTTTGACTCCAAACAAATTCTAACTAGTAAATTTCTCACAGTTAAGCAACTTTTTTCTAAAACAAATCCTAATTTGGACCACCAATTAAAAATTTTTTACTCTATGAAATCCACCTATGCATCAATTTGCATTAAATTTATCAAAGATTTGGACCTTCGGGATCTTAAATATTGAGCTAATTATTATGAAAATTAGTATAAAAATAAATTTTACTAATTGGAAATTTGACTTAAATTACATAATTGGTTAAAATAATCTGTTTTAAACATACTAGAGGTTTTAAGGTTTAAATAATAAATATTTGTTTATTTTGTTTGGAATATTGATGAAGATAAAAATTCAAATTTTAATAATTGGATATTTTAGACTGTTTGCACTACGTATATAAAAATACAATGATAAGAAACTTGTAACAGAAAAAAAATATTAATTACAGATTCCAGAATAGCAAAAAACTATAACGATAATAATTTATCACATGTATTTAAATACCAAAACTTTTCTTCATTTTGTTCCTCATTAGCTTCACATTGTCTGTACTATATATATACATAATATTAATATTATCGTTATAGGAATATAAAAAAATATATATATTTTTTATTATGAAATTATAATAAAATATACGAAAAAGATACATATTTAAACTGTTATTACAAGTATTATTTCAAAGTCAATTAGAGATAAATAAGTAAGTTACATTTTTTCTATAAAATTTTAAGATCAAACTAATTAATTAGTTATAATAATAAGATTTTTTGTAACAAGAAACTAATTAATTAGTTATAATAATAAGATTTTTTGTAACAAGAAACTTTAAAAACATAAACAAGCGATTATTTTGTACAAAAATGTTTAATCAAAGAAAATAATATACATATTTCTACAATAAATTATCGGAAATCCAAAAAAAGTATAGCAAAATTGAATTTGTCTCTATATTAAAATTTTATTTTTATTAGTAAATATATTTTGTTTTATATTAAAGTAAAGCTAAGAAAATGTATTGAACATAGATTTTTAAATCTAACTTCAAAAATATTTCTGATTGCAAAATTTGTTATACAAACTTTTATAATACAATTTTTTTATTAGGCTTTAACTATAAAAGTTTGTATAGCCAATTTTACAATAGAAATATTTCTTGAAATTAAATTTTTTAAAAATTCTATAAAATTTGTTAAAATATAAATTTCTAGCTTTAATTTTATATGAAAATCAAAATATATTCACTAATATATTTAATATTGTATTATTTTTTTGGATTTCTAATAATTTATTGTAAAAATATATTTATTGAATTTTTTTATTTAAAGTTATCTTTGTAAAATAAAAAATCAAAGTAATATAGTACTAAAAATTATAACTTAGCAATAAAATAAATTATTTTTAAATCTTTTAACACTTTACAAAAAAAATAATAATTTATCAAATATATATAATTAAATACTAAACTTTTAAATAAAATATATTTTTACTAATATTAAATAATAAAAATAATAAATTAAAATTAATTCTAATTGTGTTGAAAATAAAATATATTTTTACTAATATTAAATAATAAAAATAATAAATTAAAATTAATTCTAATTGTGTTGAAAATAAAATATATTTTTACTAATATTAAATAATAAAAATAATAAATTAAAATTAATTCTAATTGTGTTGAAAATAAA